TTTCGTTGTCGATACGGCGATATGCTTGGGAAGCAATATTAATTTTTTTTTTCCATTTGCGTTAATCAAGGTGCAGTTAATGCAAATACAATTAACTCAAAGCCCAGAAACACTGAGTTACACTTCGAAATGCACATACACCTGCTGTGTGTGGTTAATGAAGCATATTTTCTGACTGAATGGAAGTAACATGGCAAAAAAAAATATATAGGGAATTTAGTAAAAATTGTAATGGCCCTCATCCTAGAAAATATCAGCTTGAAAAGTAACCAAATATAAAAAATGTTTATTTTTCGAAGCAGTAAAATACGTAGTTCTATTGCCAAAACCCCTGGTTAAAGGCGACCGATGGATCCATTGAGCTTGAGGACCTAAGCACCTCAGAATTACCCCAGTTCTGTTAGGTTATCGAAGTAAGGTTTGCTCAAAAACACTTAATATAATTATACCCAATTCTGCACAGCTACAAAGGAGTCCAGACGCATTCTGTAAACTCTCATAGGCCTACGCGTCTGCCCATCGTAGTCTGTTATGGCTAATGCGGTTTTAGCACAGAAAGATGACAATAGCCACTTGTAGATCCTGCAGGATCGCAGATCTTCTACCACCAGTTAGCCTGGTTTACTCAGTACTGGTTGATACCATTCTTGATGAAACGTATGGGTAGAGGGACGTATTCAACGAAGGGTCTATATCTTTCCTACTGGTTCATATGCTATTTTGTTGTTACGAATGTTGCGGAGCCCTAGCGCTTATATTAGAGTAACATTATATCGATTAGCTTAGTCTAAAATGAACTTATTGCACTCTTTTACACAGTATGCAGTAGCTTTCAGCTAAGACTATCTACTCCTTAAAGCTGATTAAAGACCACGCACTTAAAAGCGGATGCCACTTTTTATTCGAAAGCATCTCTTTAGGAAACCCTTTTTCGCTAACTTGAATGCCCTACTTTGAAAGTTGCTAAGTATTTTCTTTAAAGGCTCCGGCTGGAAAAAGCTGAACTCATACTCCAAAGATATATTAGGCTCGATGTTAGCGGCAAAAATCAAACTAGGAATGACAAGAGATGCATAAGTTCGATCAAAGATGGAACCCGTGCTGAAAAGCAGTTAGCCTGAACCTCAATACCCACCTTAAGGCTTCAGATCACTGAGGACTTATAATAATCTTTGGTTTTGTCATATGCCAAGATAGGTGCCAAGGTGAAGGGTGTGCTTTGGAACGAACTTCCGTCATGTCTTGTTAAATCCCATTTGGAAAACACCAGTTTCGGCATAATGCTATTTTATGTTTAATTTTTTTTTATAAAGAAAAAATGTGGAAAAATGTTTCGTTTCGCCTGGTTTTGCCCTGATATTTTGTAAACAATTCTTTAGCACATGGAAAGAATTGCGATGCCGCATTCATGTGTGATTTTTATGACTACTTATTTCATCTACCCATAAAGCTCTGATATGTTGAATCCCATAAATATTTCAAACAGGTGTGGAATCAATGTGAATTTTTGTAAATCTATAAATTTAAAATGTATCGATACGCATGCGCTCATGCCTAAGCAGCCACATGTCTACACAAGTACTCGCATGCAACAATTTGACACATATTTGTCTCTCTATGATTTTTCATGGCTTACCACAAAAGTGGTATGCATTTCGTTTGTTTTAATTTTAATTGGAAAATATGTAATACAATTCTAATTTATGCTATTGTTTTGATGAACCGTTTTGAATACCTGATGTATGCGATTTGCATATGAAAAAGTTATTGTAATATCTAGAATGATTAAATTGGGCGCAAATACTAAATGTGTATTAGCGTTAGGCAATGAACTTATGAATGTACGAGTAAATGCTTATATTGTGGTATATTCATTAGGGCGGTTAATTTTTTTTCCTACTGCAAAATGCCAAACGAATTTGACGAACTCTAAATGGATTTTTTACCAATAGCTTCTTCGGAAAATTTGCTACGAATTACACGTAGAATCTATCTGTGCTATACGCACATAGTCGAAAAAATCTCCCGTACAAATTAACCCGCCCTATTGTTCTTATATCTACTAGTTTTATGCAAATTTGCATGTAGTACAATAGTTCGAAGGGTAGAGAAATTAGCAAAGTTCACTTTTAACTGTAATCGCTATGAACGACTTAATTGCAGTTAATTAATAGCTATCGGCTTTCTTTGTCGTTAATATTTTAAAAGGGCAATATTATATGTGCGTATTGCTAGGTAATCATACGTGTATTAGATAGTCTCTGCCATTCAATATTTTGCAAAAAATAAAACAACACAATAAAACTCTGTTAATCGTTTATTTTTACAGTAAACGGAAATATAACATTTAAATAATAAACGACCCTTTCCGTTATTGGATTTTATTTTACTAAATATCTAAATAATAGCTCATTCCTCACAATATCCACATCGAACTTTATAGCAGCTTCACAGACTAAAAAATCAGATCCGGAAATAACTATAACTGCTTGTTAATGATTTAAAAAACCATTTCTGCCGGGTCCGGTTTCAAGGAGAACCGCTAATTTGAACTGGTTTCGATTCTCAAAAAAGTGGTAACGGAACTAGGTCCTATCGAAATTCAATTTCTTTTTATATTTTTGTTATAAAATAAATATATTATATTCATTCCTTGGTTGATATCTGTGTGACACATTTTTAAAAAATATGTAATTTAAGAAATTAATAGCGTTTCCTTTTCTCAAAAAAACAAAAAAAGTGTGCCCTCTTATATGGGAACTCTTGCTTTTTGTTGCCCTGAAACCGGAGAAAATATTGCGTTCTTTATGTGAGAGTGAACAGGAAATATGCTGCTCCATTGCAGGTTCATTTATAGAAGTTAATAAAACTGAATTTCATAAGAAAACACTTATTTGTTATATGAAAAAAAATTTATTTTGTGTATGTAAGTTGAAATTCTATATTCAAAATGCAATAAGAAATGTAAACAAATGTAAAAAAAAGAGAGAGTGGTGCTTATTGAATTTAGAAATCCCTCGGGTTACTTAACTCTGTGCAAGTTTTCAATGCTGCAAGACATTGTCTGGTTTAGGAATATAACAATTTAACTCTGAGCTACTTAACTCTCTATCTATATATTTAACTGTGGATGTTCTGCAAGTGTACCTAAGTAATCGTTTTCCACGTAAAGGTTTCATTTAAAACAAGGTAATGTTTCCATAAAAAAAAATAATTTTTTCGATGTTGTCGCTGGTCTTCAGTGTTGCCGCGAAAAATTTTTAGCGGTAGCTAAATTCAGGCTAAAAAAGGGCTAAAATGGAGCTAAAAATCATCGTTGTGGCTAAAAATGGTAGCTAAATTTTTTTACCTACATATAAATATATAAGTATACACGCAAACATTTTCTATAAGTAATGATATAGAAAAACAATGAACTCTGGAAAGAATTAATATTTTATTCAACAAATAAACTTGTTGTGTAACACATAAAGCATATTAAGGGCCGCCAACTTACCTATTTTAAAGTATAGTTAAATCGTTAATGGATAAGATAACGGCCCAGAAACGTAAAAAACATACATATACATATGTATGTACAGTTTAAAAATTAATTTCTTACATAAACAAAAAATGAGATCACATTAAGAATACATAGGTACTAGAATCATATCTATATACAGTGTCGGACAATACTAAATAACTTAAATAATTTCAAACTATGCTTCGAAAAATATCCATTTGTAAAAGAAAATTTTAAAATGTTATGTTATGTAAACATGCCCAATCAATAGTCAATGTAGTCCTTTGCTCCGTATATTTTAAATGAATAATTGCGTCATCGATTTTTTCATATTTGCCCACCGCTAATCATCAAACAACCACAGATAATTCACATTTTTATGTCGATTTGATGATAAACCGTTTCTGAGCTTTCTCTTTCCTACTAGGGATTCTATAAGCTGCTTGCGAATTCCAAAAGAACGAAAGTCGGCGCGTACAATCAGGAAATTCTGAGTGAGAAATTGTTCTCTCATCCTCTCCTATCCAACCACTTTTCGTCTACACTGTCAACTACTTAGTTGGTGTCTTCTCATTACTGGCGTATGCTTCACTTACTCGCATTATTATTATAACGTTGCTTTTTTTAAATGGCACAGGAAAAAAAGGTGCGCATCTTGGCCCACCCACTAGACTGCGCAACAACGCATTTCTCACGACTCTTAGTTAATTCAGTTGAGGTGTGCGCGCCAATATCGCTTACGACTGCGGCTGAAAGTTCCGATGATTAAGTACTCGGCGGTGTACGTTATCAACACGCACACTGTGTGACAAATAAACAAATCTACATGCATAAATATCAATAAATAAAATACAATTGCATACATACATATGTACGTTGATTTGAGAGCCGTGCACGAGCGTCGACGCTACTGATTCCACCATCGCCTTAGCTATGTTCAGCGCAGCCGGAGGCGCAGTCGCGATTAGCTAGCAGTCGCTGCTTTTTGATAAGAATATCGGCTTACGCGACAGCGATTTGAAATTTAATAACAACAGTACAAAAGTTCTTGTTGGGCGTTCCTCAGCTGAGAGCAAAGTGAAAGGAAAGTAAACTGATTATACATATATGAAAAAAAAAGTTACAAAACTAACAAAAACACTAAGAGTAATAAGTTTTCAAAGCGCTTGGTTTATTTTGATATTAATACAAAGTTGCGGTTCTGTTTTGTTTTTTTTTTGTACACTTTTGCTATTCATTTTCACGCCAGCCATTGACAGCATTTTTGCTGTGTGTTTTTGTTTTAGGTGTGTGCAGGCAGCTTGCGACGCGGCACGCCGCTGTGCGACTAACCACATTTAAGACGCCGCGCTGTCAGCTACTGTGGCGTTAAAGTCGCTGTCGCGCCGACGCTGGTGTGGAGTTGAGTCGACACGCTGCGCTGTCCGTTGCTGCTCTAGTCCATGGCTAGATCGCCAGCGAAACGCTTTGACAAACAGCAGTCAGTTGCTGAGCGTGAACGTGCGCGTGTGATGATCATTTTGGCGTGCGAAAAAATAATAATAATACATAAATATCAACTAATGACAACAATAAGAAATAGTATAATTGATGAAACTCAATGAGACAAAACAAATAGTATCAGAGCGGTCAAAGGTTGAAGCGCGTTGCCGGAAAAATTTGCGAATGACATTGTAGCAGCTAATGAGGAAGTGAGTGAAGAGGATAATCTAGAGGATATGTTTTGTTATAAAAGAAAGTGAGTGGCTTGCAAATAAATGCTAAAATTATTTTTGTGCGTGTGTTAAAAAGTTTAGTATTTATTGCGAAAAAATTTTTTAAAGTTTTGCATATAATGAACGAAAAAACTATAAAAAAATAATATAATTTTTAACACAGTAATATTTGTGAATATATGTATGTATGTATATTATTTTTTGAATTAAAAAACTTAAGTTAAATCATTGCTAAGAAAACCGAAGAATCGAGACTTTAAAATTAAAAAAAAAATTTTTTTTTTTTTTTTTTGAAAACGATTGAATCCCAAAAAAAAATTTAATTCGGTATTGTGAAATCTATTCAAATAATACAAGAATTATTTAATTTAAATTAAATTAAATCCAAATTTAACTAATATAAAAACCCAAAAAATTTTTTGTAGTTGTACAAGATTTCTTTCATTTAACTAATTAAAATTTACGAGTTCTTGAAAGGAAATGTTCTTGAAATTTTTTATTATTTAAAAATGGGTATACAGTTTTTATTGTTTAAAAATTTTGTTCATTTAAAAATTGACATTAAGTGATGGGTTAAAAAGAATATGCGTTAAAATAACATAAAACTTATGGCCATTTAAAAACGGGACATGAGTTTTTGACGATTTCACCACTCGCAATCAATGATTCATCATTCAATAACTGGTCATAAATTTTTGGTCTTCATAGAACTGGACATATTTCTTTGTCCACCTAAAGACTTAACATAGATTTTGACTTATTGATAGCTGAACACAACTCTTTGTTAACTTGAAAATTGGACATTTATTATTGGTATTATAAAACTGGGTTGGGTGTGCTACTTTTTATTCAATAAATGGACATTATTTACGGAAATTTGTAAATTGGACATACATTTTTAGTGTGGTGAATTTTTGGTTCATTAAAAACTGAGCATATAAAGTTTACCATAAAAAGTATGTAGATTCCAAGTACATTGTAGATAAATTTTTTCGCCTTTGCAAGTTGGATAAAAATATTTCAATAGGTAGAAGGTGGACTAAAAATCAGATAGTACAAGTGCATTGCTCAGTTTTCAATGTCCACTCGAAGCAATTAAGCAGTCATTGGTTAGTTTTTGTTGTACGCAAGGCCTACGATTATATCCGGTTTCAAAGCTACCACATTTTTATTTCTAATTGTGCTTTCAAGAATTCAAACTGCACATACATACATGCATAAATTAAAGACAAAATATTAAAGAATTTAATATCATTAAAAACAAAATTATTAATCGTCTCATTAATAATTTCCAGCTGGTTTATTGCTGAAACCAAAATTCATACAAAACGAAAACGCGCAATTTGCTTATCAACCGTGGCGATCTACCCAAGAGACTGCACAGCGGAAAAAATCGCCTAATCATCGACTCTAAAATAACAATAAACCGAAAGGTGCGGCTGCTGTGAGAAGAAATGTAGAAAGCCGGAAGAAAAAGTAAAAAACAATTCAGTATTAAAAAAAGTTTTTGCAATATAAAGACACTTATCGCCAAAGAAATTTGCACAAAGGGTAACTGTCAGCAACAGATAAACACACACAGACAAATAAGAAAAACTTAAGAAGTGAATAAACATATCGAAGAGATTTTGAAAACCCCTGTGCCAGAACTAGTGAAGTGAAAAGAAATATCCGCAAGAAATCTGCGTTGTCAGAAAGCTCATCGCTGTACCTCAAAAAGCTGCTCACATTTGTGGTACAAATTCTAGGCGCTGCAACGCGTACGCCCCCGATCACTACGCAATCCCTTCGCAACTAAACGTCGTGAATTGCGACACTCACTTTCCATCCACTACCGCACACCCTCGCTCACCCTCGCTCACCCTCGCTAACATGCGCGCCTTCCAACGCGGCTTCTTCTGCGCCGATCTCTCGCTGCGCTATCCCTATCGCGAGTGCACGATCACCATACCCATGCTGCTGATCTACACGCTACTCCTTCCCATGCTCTTCATCAGCGTCGTTGAAATAATGCGCATCTGCAAGTGTTTTCGATTGCGCAAGTACATCACCAACCTGGCGCGCAGTTTGGCGACCTTCAGTTACGGTTTCATCGCCACCTATCTGACCACAGAATTGGGCAAAAATGTGGTGGGCCGCCTGCGTCCGCACTTCTACACCGCCTGCCAGCCGCGCTTGGCCGACGGCAGCTCCTGCGAGAGTGCCTACCAGCAGCTAGTGGGCGGCGGCGTCTACGTTGAACACTACTATTGCTCCAATCGCAATTTGAGCGCGCGTCAGCTGCGCGAACTGCACGTGTCCTTCCCGAGCGCACACTCTTCGCTCGCCTTCTACTCCATGTTGCTGCTATGTTTCTATTTGCACGCGGTGTGGCATGGTCGTGGCACTACGCGCGTGCTACGTCACATACTGCAGTTCCTGTTGCTGTTGGTCGGCTGTTATATCGCGCTGAGCCGCGTACGCGACTACTGGCATCACTGGTCGGACGTGCTGGCAGGCGCATTGTTGGGACTAGTGTACGCCGTCTTGACAGCGGTCTATGTAGGGCGCATGCTGCGTGCGAACTTTACGGAAGCGTGTACGACACAGAAGCATAAGAAACATCAAGCGCAGCAGCAGCAGTACAAGGTGACAAACCATCAACAGCGCCCGCATGCGCACCACCAACCACTCGCGTCATCACATCAACACCTGACGCCGCATGATGCGCGCAGTCGCATGCTATTAGTGGCGGCTAGTGGCAGTGTTACCAACTTACAGCAGCAACAATTGCTGGCAACAGCGCACGAGGAGCACGAGAAGCACGAAAAACAACAGTTGCACGAACAAGTGAAGGAGCATTTAATGGAGCGCGGCAGCATAGGCGGCGGCGGCGGTGGCGGTGGCGGCGACTGTGAATGGAAACTGCAGGCGGTTGTTTTGCCAACGTAATTGCAAACAATGCGCAGCGCCGTGGTGGAGGGAGCGTGCATTGTGGCACGCGGGAATGAGGAAGGAGAAGCGAAACTGCGAAATTGATGGCGGAACAAATCTGTAAACACATCACATGTCGGCAAGCATTGTGATAAGAGTGACGAAGATAAACGCCCCCTTTTTGCACGCGGCTAAATTTGCAAAAAAAAAAACGATGAGGGAGCAGAAGCGTGGTTAAAGTGAGAGTGGAATTCTGAGAGTTTTTAAACCTAAGGTGGTGTAAAAGAGCGGCTTTCTATTGGAAAATGCGCCAACGATAATTGAAAAAACAAAAATTGAGAATCATGAGAGGGTCCGGACCCCTTCCTACAAAAAAGAGGCTTTTAAACATGTATACGTAGGCTGAGCAGCAAAATATTGATATTTTTCAAAAGTGACTCTGCGACCCCCTTGAACCCCCCTACACTACGCCCATGTTCGCTGACGTAAATGAAGTCTGCATGCGAGTAACACTAAAGCACATATGATATTTGCAACAAAAGCTAAGCAGCCTTCAATAACCGTACATAATTACGGGCCAAGCAGCCAACCAACCATCCAGCCGAAAAAAGTGTTTTTTTAAGTAAAAAGGCCAAAAAATTCACCATTGACTATCTATTATTGTGCAACAAAAAGTGGCCAAATCTGAAAGCACCAAAAAGGCATTGCAATTTTCTCAGCTGCAGTGGCGTCCGCTGTGTTTCAAGCACACATGTATGTGCATGTGTATTTAAGTAGGTTCGGCTCGATATGGCAACATTAGCCAGCGTGACAGCGCCAGAGCAAGTAGCCAGTAGCGACAGCGGCCGCCGCGTGCCTTTGCTCTGAAGTTGCATGCCGCGTACGAAGGCAACAACAGCAGGCGCGAGTTGACGTGTGAGTGAGTCACCAGCAACCGAGCTTGGAAATACGTACATATGTATGTATATTTCTATAAGGAGCATATATCTACTAAAAAATATATGTACATATATGCATATGTAAATACATATGTAAATATGTGTATAAATGGGAGTGTGCTGGCGCTGTTGGAGTTTGTTCCCCTTTGGCTGAGCTGTGGTGCAACAACCAAAACAGCAACTAGGAAAAAAACAGCAGCAGCTACTTACTGCACAAAAACAAAATAAAAAATTAAGAAAATTACAAAAAAAACAAAAAGCAATAAGAAACAATAGTAACAGCAGCAATAACAACAACGATATCAGTTTAAGTAGCAGCGAAGAAAAAAGTCAGAAAAACAGCGTCAGCGTTCAACGGCAACGAAAATAAAACAAAAGAAAAGCATAGCTTTGTAATAGTTAATATATTTATATGAATGTCTGTTTGTAAACCTATCTCTCTGTATGTAAATACATATGTAAAGAAAATATTGTAAAACATAAAAATGAGGCAGCTGCCAAAGAGCAGTTACAATATGTTAGTAATGCATTCCTTAGTTTATATAAAAATTTTTGTATGTATGTATGTTGTTTAATGGAAGAATGTACTATTTAACTGAGACTTTGCGTCTATATTTTAAGCAATACATTGTGTACCCACTAACACTGCGACCGATCAATCAATCGTACCATCAACTCGGACATATAAATTTAAATGAATTATATCCTCATAATTTATACGCTAAACTACTTAAGTACCTTGGCTTCCTGCTATTACTAGTTAGCTAGTATACACACATATGTATGTACATACATAAGTAGTTAGATATGGAAATGTGTATATATATGAAGGTATAAAAGTTAACGGAGACATAACTTACATACATTTAAGTAGTTCAGCATAAATTAAGTCTAAGGAAATAAAAAAAAATAAAATAAAACCTGGCAGGTTAAAGAAAATGCTGTGCTTGCGTGTATTAAATAAAATAATAAACGTACATACTTACTTACTTATTTTCATTATGAAAAACTTTTTTTAATTTTTCAAAATGTTCGGTAAGTAAGAGTTCTTTTGCCTCGGTCCGAGGATATGCATACTTACTTTTCTATGCCTGAATAAAAACAACCATCTCAATTGACTTCCGGTAATGCAAGTAGCCGTTGCCGATAATAGTTATCGATACTGCGACCGATAATTTTAGAAATATAGGTATGTATGTTTATTTCATCAATATATATATGTATATCTTAAATTAAATCTTTTTTTTTTTTTGAAATTGTTATCGATAAATTATTCATATTTTTATTATAATTTATTTTTCAATATTTGTATAGATTATACGCAGAAACGCTCACCGGTATTTATTTATGCTGTAATCGATAAGTTTTAAGTATCGTATAATTATATTTTCTTTCGTTTAATTTCTTTTAATTCATAGAAAAAATTAAATTAAATTTAGTTTTTAATGTTTAATCGATTTATGATTTTAGGGACATTTTAATCTTTAATTTCGTCACATTTTTATAGATATACGTATGTACTTATTTTTGTCTTCGGTTATACATATATATCTATACATAGTATAAAGGAAAGAATCTTTGTTCGCAGTAATCTCGAAAACTACTGAACGGATTTTGACGAAGTTTTCGCTAATATATTCCGCATCGATAGGAGAGTGACCTTTAGAATTTTAATAGGGTTGCCAACTGTTAATAAAATTACTATATTCAATTCTAATAAGCGTAGTTCTGCACCCTCACTGTCAAATGAAAAGACTTAGCCTCTGGATGTGTATTAACATATTATTTTTCTGAGTAGGGTTACCACCTGTTTAAAAAACTATAAGATCTTCGCAGTTCGTTGGATGAATAAATGAGATACCAAAGGAAAGTGCATGGCCTTCGCATGTACAAAAACTTCAAGTTTTTTCAGTTGGGTTGCCACCTATTTTAAATACTATTTTCCATACATATACTATGTAAGGAAAGGCAAGATATTTTAACCATGCTACTGAACGGATTAAGACAAGATTTATTACGTATAAAATAAACGAAGTACATGATGACATATGATTTCTTTCTCCAAATACGTAAATGCCTAATAAACATTCGGCCTGGTTAACAATTCGAAAACGAATCCTCTTTTCGAGTCTCACCTTCGATAACGAATATGAAACAGGTTAGTATTCGATTCGAGAACTAGGCCATTGTCCAGCAAAACGGAACCTTCGTTAATCAATGTATGTATTTTTCTTTCGTTATGAATTCGAAATCCCGTCCATTATCGAATTGGAATTTTAATGAGAGAGAGTGATTTTCTTATATTTCCCTTCGAGAATGAGCTGGATATCACTTTCTCTCTTGTTACTATGGATTCCATGTTTTTTTCGAACCCATCTCGAGTGTATTTCCAATATACTATAAACGTTGTAAAACTAGGGTTGGTTATGAGTTGGTTCCTCAGTTCGAAATTCATTCTGGAAAAGGACACGGTAGATATATGTAGCAATAGCCACTTTCAAGCAGTTTGCTAGAGATCACACAATTCTAGTAACCGAGGAACCCCGAAAAACTTTTCGCCTTGTTAAGTTTTCACGATTACCTGGTATTTCTAATGAAAAATCAGGACTTGTTTTGACCTACTATGTTACATGTAGGACCGAACCGAAAGGGTTACCAAATTGAAAAATAAGTTACCACATTACCAAATTTGATAAATAAAGAAAAAAATTCCAATTTTGGTAAAAAATTACCAAAGCGACAACGCTGAATATAACAATAAGAATAAAGCTATTTCGGTGGTAAACATGTGCACAAGAGCAAAATTTACCCACATTTTCCACAATCAAAAGCCGGAAAGCACCTGGAAGTTAGTATAGCATGCGGTAAAGGGTTAAACTAAAACTCAAAAATATGTTGTTTTTTTTTTCATTTCCTATATCTACCCTAGTAATTTTCACCAATTTTAATTTAAGCAACCTCATCTTGTAACAAAGTTGAGCATAAAAGTGAATTTGAAAGTCACTTGCAAACTAGTTTCTAAAACTTTGGCAAACTTGCCGCTACCAATGACTTGTGCCCTTTGTGGCACACAAATTGCCAACCAGCTTCGAAGGCCATCTACCTATTCATATCGACTAGCCAGGCAAAAAATAAAAATAAAAATATAAATTCAATTTCATTTCATATTTGCCACCTCAGAGCTAATTCAATAGAAAGATGCCACACTGTCAAACAATTCTACTCGCTATTCCCGCACATGTCCTTCTCTCTCTCTCCATCTTTCTCAGAGCAAAACTTGCACAATACGAGTAGGTACCTTTGCTGGACGCAAACTTTTCGAAGTAAGCGTGAAAAACACAAATTCTGCAATTCAAAACATTTCTAACGATTTCTTCGAAGGCCATTCGCATATTCATAGATCTATCTATACACTCGTATTTGTCTTATGAATATATGTATGTACGTGCATACGTTTGAGGAAATGTGAGCATCCTAAAGCTCTGAACACATCGAAAACGACAGCACCACACGACACGACACGCCATTAAGATTTTATCTACGAGTTTGACATAAAAGAAGAGGAAGAATCTTATCTGTCGGTAGAAAAACTAGAAATAGATCAAATCTGGGCACAGCTAGATTTTTTGCTAGTCGCAGTGTTGCCGTGTCGTCGTCAAAATAATTATCTTCATAAGAGTAAATGCGTGTTAAAATAATTTGACAGCTGTGGTCCGCAATAATGATGGAATACAAGATTGCGCCCATCAGAAAGGATTTTTGAGAATAAATTTTGTGTGACGTCACGCTGGTGCAATTGCGAGAGAGAAATGCCAAAACGTGAGGAAGAATGGAAGAAGAAAAATGTTGCAAGAAAAACGTAAACAAGTTGCACAAGGGTGACGTCATACAAACAACGATTCTGTCAAATTCACTGAGAGGATTGGCGGTACCGTTATGGGCGCAACCTATATTTCTCTCAATCGTGTGTGGACCGTAGCCCGTCGTTTCCAATGTGTTTCAGGCTTAAGTCAGTTAGCTCTACTTGGTTGCCACCTTGGCAGCTAGTCCTATACTTTTCAAACTATTGTTAACTTGAGTGTAGCTGTTCAGTGTTACTTTGCAACCTTTTTGCTATTTTCTTACTATTCCTGTACTTGTTTTTGTTCGGGTGATTTTATTATTCCATTCAACAATGGTACACTGCATGCTTCAATTATCGTATTTCATGATTCGTTAAATTCACATTCTTCAAAAATAGCGCGTATACTGTACAAACACACATACATACATACATATATACATGCGAATGTTAGATGAATTACATAGAACGGTGCTGTAAGCAAACAAGCACACAATTTCTGACGATTTGACGTTGTGGTACGTGTCTATGCGAAAAATGGCGTACGTAAGAACAGCAGCCCATATCCATACTTATACACATACGAGTATTCACTCTTACATACATATACGTATACTTAAAATACATAAAAGGCATTTCCTTGATTTGCTGTTGGCATAGAGACAATAACAAATCAAGCGGCTACACAATAACTAAGCACCTAAGCGTCGAAGTACAATAAAGGTCCTAAGCATTTCAATACATTTTCCTATAGTAAAATTCGCTTCTGAAATCAAGTACTTGCAGCAGCTGAACTGCATATTAGGGATGTTGCGGATGTCTAACAGCTAACATCCGCGGATGCGGATAAGAAACTATTAGGTAAGTAAATTAAGTTATTTAGGTAAATAAAAAATGCAAAAGTTAGTAATATTTAATAGCATTTATTTTAGTTAGTACTTGAATTAAAAAATTTGAGCATTATAGTAAAAAGCAATAAGAACAGCATCGGGGCTGACAATGTCGGGTGTATCCTCCTCACTTTCATCTTCACTTGAAGAATCTAGCGTAATGGCGAGATCGTTGTATAAACAGCGCTGACAAGCCAAACCAGATGTGTCAGGTTTTTCTAAAACTTATTTAAAATAATTATTCATTCTCATTCGTTTGGCTGTTTCAGAATTTGGGGAACCTGTAACGTCATCAGCGTTTTTCGATTTTAGTTGTTTTAATTCATTTTTAATATGTTCTTCTGCGACTGGTTTGAAAAATTTATGCTTATACCAAGCTAAATAGGTGGATATGGAAAATGAATTATTATTTTCAGGAA